GGGGGGGGGGGCTGGGGATGCAGAGGACAGCAGGGCCCTGGCTGGCCTGGCAGGCAGGGCAGGCAAGGGCGCTCACTAGGCTTGCAGGGCAGGCAGGGCAGCCAGCACGGTCCTTTGTTCCCACCCAAGGCGTTTTCCCTGCAGGAACCCACCTGAAACTTCTAGGGGCTTCCTGCAGGGCAGGCCCGTCGTGCCCACTGGGGCAGGATGGACTTGGTTTCCAGTACCCTACTGGACCCACTCAGGAGCCCCCAGGTACAGGGCTGAGGGAAGACACTCTCGCTGGAATCCTTAGGGCTGGCCAGGTCTTCCTAGCAGGGATCCCTTTTCCTGCTGAGCCTCGGAAGGTGGGTGGGTGGGGGGAACCGCTCCCCCTGCTTCAGAAGGAACTGGCTTTGGGGGCTGCAGGCTTTCCCCCTGTACCCTTCTGTCTTTCGGTGCTGTCACAAGACGCCCAAGACTGGCTGAGCTGGAAGGACGTTGTCTTGGCTCAGGGTTCTTGGAAGCCCACAAGCAGGGCACCAGCAAAGGCCTGGGCCCCACAACCCAGAGACAGGGAGGCCTTGTGGGAGAATTCATAGCACCTGCTCTTCGGAGGGGTGCAGAAAGACTCCTGTGGGATTTCTCTGCATGTTTGAGGGGCGCACAGGTGGACAAAGGGACAGATGACTACAGGCACGGCTCTGTGGTGTTGGCTGGGCATGGCACAGGAAGAGGTCAAGGAAGTCGGAGGTGGGAACAGAAGCCACTAGCTTGGTCATGGGTTGCTGACCCTTCCGAGGGTGTCCCCTGGAGCCATGGTGCCGTGTCCTTGCTGGATGAGACCCAGAGACCCTGGAGTTGCCACAGTCTGACACCTGGGAGAGCCCACATGTGCCCTGAGATGTTCCTGCTCTCCCTGGCCCTGCCAAGAGCCAGGACAGACGGGTTCCCTACAGCAAGAGAGTGACACATGGCAAGAAAATGCAGGCTTTTTTTTTTTTTAAGATTTGTTTATTTGAAAGGCAGAGTTACAGAGAGGCAGCGGCAGAGAGAGAGAGAGAGAGAGAGAGAGAGAGAGAGAAGTCTTCCATCCTCTGGTTCACTCCCCCAGATGGCCACAATGGCCAGAGTTGTGCCGATCTGAAGCCAGGAGCCAGGAGATTCTTCTGGGTCTCCCACGTGGGTGCAGGGGCCCAAGGACTTGGGCCATCTTCTACTGCTTTACCAGGCCACAGCAGAGAGCTGGATTGGAAGTGGGGCAGCCAGGACTCAAACCAGCGCCCATATGGGATGCTGGGACTGCAGGAGGCAGCTTTACCCACTATGCAGGGTTTTGCACGAAAGAGAATTGCAAAATACAAAAGTGAAGTGGGACTATCGCTTCGATAAAGTCACAGCCACTCCTGCAAAAGTAACTCCTAGCAAGCTGCATATATCTTTATCTTTCTTCCCAGAGGCCTGGGGGGGGGGGGGGGGATGAAGGAGTAACAAAGGCAGGTCTGAGCCCGTTCTGTGGCAGATAATGGCTCTCAAGTGGCCTCTGTCTGGCCCTGTCTTCTTCCCAGTAATCTGGGGTCACTGCCTCATTACCTCTGCATTTCCATACCTGCCAGTCCTTGGACACTCCCCTCCGGAGTTTCCTCTCCAGATACCAGAATGCCTCCTCCCCACTCTCCCCACTTTGTTTCTTGGAGGGAGAGCCGTTCCTGCAACATTTACAGAACCCTCTTTTTCTTTCGCCCTACAGATTCCGAGGTCTCTCTGGGTCCTGTGTGCACCCCTCTTTCATACAGAAGTAGGTGTTTGCTACCAGTGTGACCCTGGACAGGACGAGGGAGACTGGGTGGGATTCTTAGTGCTTGTTTGCGTCTGAGCACAGAGTAACGCACTCATGCTCCTATGGAATGCAGTGTGCACCATAAATCTGCAAAACCCCGATCCTGTTACTCTGCCCCAAAAATGCCCAAGGAAAACAGAAATCCGTCTTGAAAGCTGTCTGGGCTGAGCGCAGCCACAGAGGCCTCGTGTGCCTGTGTGAAGTGGGCGCATTCACCACCTGCCATATTTGGGTGGGAATGCGAGTCCCTCCTCACTTTATCACTATTTTTAAATGGGACTTACGGAGAGGAAGAGAAAGAGATCTTTTTTCTTTGCAGTCTACCTCTACCTACAAATACCTTTCCCAATAAGGCTGTGTCTAAATCAGTCTAAATTTAATATTCCCATAAAAGACAGAAATATAGCAAAATGGTTATTTTGTGTGCACAACACAGAATTGGGTCATTTTACTGAGCTGATGTGACTCATTGCTAACTGCTCTACTACTGCTGCATCCGCGGGAGTTGAGGTGTGGGAGCACACACGCCGCAGGAGCCCTCTGCCGCCGTGTGTAGAAGGCTTCTCCCACGGAAGAACGAGTGTTCATTCCATCGCATCTAACCGGCATTTTCCTTTTTTTTTTAAAGGTTGATTTGTTTATGTGAAAGAGTTGCAGAGAGGAGAGATCCCATCCTCTAGTTCATTCCCTGGATGACCATGATGGCCAGGAGCCAGGGACTTCACCAGGGTCTTCACATGAATAGCAGGGGCCCAAGAACTTGGGTTGTCTTCCAGTGCTTTTCCCAGTGCATTAGCAGGGAGCTGGGTCAGAAACGGAGCAGCTGGGACTCTGACCGGCACCCATATGGGATGCTGGGGTTGTAGGCAGTGGTTTTGCCTGCTATGCCACAGTGCCAACTTTGGAGACCTTCCTTCCTCCCTCCCTCCCTCCCTCCCTCCCTCCCTCCTTCCTCTCTCCTTCTCTCTCTCTCTCTCTCTCTCTCTCTCTCTCTCTTTCTTTCTTAAGGCTTACTTATTTTATTTGAAAGTCAGAGTTATGGGGGGGGTGGAGAAAAAGACTGAGTGAGTGGACAAAGAGAGAACTTTCTTTTGCTGGTTCACTTTCTCCTCCTCCTCCTCCTTTCTTCTTTCTTTTGCCAATTTAAGCTCAATTCCAGTTTGAGACACAAGTTTGAGGTTTTAGAATTCTAGTTGTTTGGACTCATGGTTGGGTAAAATATTAATGTTGCTATTAAGTTGGCTTTAGAATTTAAATAATTTTTATAGTTTGTTTTGGCTTTGCCAATGTAAATTTCAAATGTGATTTTGTTTTTGTCGTCCTCATCTCTGGAGGGTGGGATTGTGTGTGCACAGAGTCCGGGCTCTGAGGAGCAGATGCAGTGGGTGTGCACGGTGGGCAGTGTCGGAGGGAAGCAGGCCTGGAGCAGCAGCGGACATCTCTGCTGCCTGCTGAGCTAGATCATTTTGAAATAGACCTCATTTTTCCCCAGATATTTTAGTGTTTTTCTCCAAAACGCTCTCTTTTTTTGTTCAGTTTTTATGACCACCTGCATTTAGGGTCAACTGATGAGCCCTGGGCTTTTAGTTGCCTGTGTGTCGATTGCTTGCATCATAAAATAAACCCTAAGTCCCCCTCGTGGTGATTGGCAGAGTCCTCGTCCCAGGGAGCTCCCAGGGTCTTGGGTGAGGGGAGACAGTGAACGCAAGGGAGAAATGAGCTTAGAGTGCAGCTGGGGGCAGGCGCTGTACGCGCTGGGAAGTTTCTCAGTGGAAACAGGACTTGGGGCCCCAGGGAGCGCACAGGACACTGTAGGCCTGGGACCAGCTTTCTGCTGGAGGAGGCTGGGGCTGGGAAAGGCCTTGCCGGGGAGAGTGGGAGAAGAAGACGGTGGCTGGGAGAGGTGGCTCTCGCAGAGCAGGTGCTGTCTGCACACCAGAGGCCAGTAGAGTGGTCTCTCTCCAGAAACCTCACAGCACTAGGGGGTGGGTGCCGTGGGAGCCCAGAGCCCCTCCAGGAAGGTGAGCCCCGTGTGGTGGCGACAGCCGGTTGCCAGAGCCCACGCACGGGCGAAGGAAGCCGAGGAGGGCCAGCTGCTGTGGGGGGGCATCAGGCTGAGTCAGACCAGTTCTGAGTTTCATTTTGCCTGAAGTTCCTTTGGAGGCTGGCTCAGGAGGAAGGTCTGGGGACTTCTCCCAGGTATCAAAGGAGACCCCAGGCACCAAGGGAAGGGCTGGCAGAGCCCTTGCCAGAGGCACTGCAGTGCACCTAAGGGTGTGAGAGGGCCTCACCAGGGAAGGGGTGGGGAGGCGGGAGGCCCAGGGCTGGCCAGTTGGGAAGTTAAGCTCTCCCCCTCCCAGAACTCACTCCAGCTGGAGCGACCTCCTGGCTCCTTGGCCAGGGCCGCGGCAGTGTGGCAGTGACCAACCGTGCCTGGCCAAAGATGCAACACCCCGAGAGTAGTGCACTCCACCACCGCCCCCCCCAACTCCTGGAGGCAGGCCAGGAAGAGCAGACAGCACGTCTGGGCCTGGGGCTGGACAGCCCCGCGCCCGGCCCCTTCCCACACCTTGACACAGGTCCTCTGTGCGCCACTCCGGAGGGGCCCCGTTTAGGCCCTTTGGTAGCCTGGGTGGGAGGGCGAGGGCCTCCAGGTGGGGGTCCCGGCCAGGTGCACCGAGAAGGGCTAGAAGGCAGGCCCAGGCGACTGCCCAGCCTGGCGCGGCCGCCCAGCCTCCCAGACGCAGGGCCCAGAGCCCGTCGAGGGCACCCCCGCCACTCGCCCCGGCACGGTGCCCGCCTCCCCCCGCGGCCTCCTTCCCTCCTGCCTTTCTGTGCTTTCCGTCCTCTGCCTGGGGCTCGGGGCCTGCCCTCCTCAGTCACCCCCTCCCCTCCTACTCCGGCAGAACTCAGAGGGGAGGGGCCGGAGCCCCCCTTCTCGCCAGCGGTCGGAAGGGGCAGCGCCGCAGCCGGGGGCCCGGGGCCCCCGTGTCCCGCCCGATCAGGCCACTCGGTACCCTAGGGGTGGGGGGCGGGACGCGCGGCTCGCGGGGAGGGGGCCTGGCCGGGCAGGTGCGGGCTCCGGGGGCGGGGTCTCAGGTTACAGCCCGGCGGGGGGCCGGGGGCGGCCCGCGGTTTGGGCGAGTGCGCCAGCCTCTCGAGGGGCCGGCGCATATAACGGGCGCCGCAGGGCCGGAGACGCAGAGCGCCGCTGGGCTGCCGGGACTCCCGCTTCCTCCTCCTGCTCCCAGGCCTCCTGCATGAGGGCGCGGTAGAGACCCGGACCCGCGCCGAGCTCCTGCCGCCCCGCTGCGCTCCGCCGGCCCGGCTCTCCAGGCCCACGGAGAGCCATGATCCGCCTCGGGGCGCCCCAGACCCTGGTGCTGCTGACGCTGCTCGTCGCCGCTGCCCTTCGGTGTCAGGGCCAGGATGTCCGTAAGTCGCCCGCCGGCCCCTGCCCTTTCCCTCCGTCCCGGCTCTGTCTCTCCGGAGCTCGCAGGTCCCGGGGCGCGCGGCTCACGGAGTCTCGGGCACAAGAAGTGCGGGCGCTAGTCAAGCTGGGTCTGGAGTGAGGGGTCCCGGCCCTCCGTGCGGGTCGGCGTCAGAGGCGTTCACAGGTCCCGGGGCTGCCCAGGAATCTTGAACTCGTCCAGTGCTGGGTTGGAGAGGTTTGCGCACAGGCGTCACACGCGCCCTTTTCCTTCAGCTTGGGTAGTTGGGCGCACAAGCGCACAACGCGCCTCGCCAGCGCTGAGTTCCAACTTAGTCTAAGTGGGAGTGCCCTCATGCCAGAGGGCTGACTTCTAGCCTGCCAGGGGGTCAGAGGCTGGGGGGTTCAGAGGGGAGGTGGACAAAGGGGACTGGCGCTCCCACACCGGTGGCCGAAACCCGAGACCACAAAGGAAGACGTGAGAGAGGCTCTTGGGTCCTGGGTGCCTCTCTACCCCTCACCCCCACCCCCGGCCCCCTGCTGCGGCTGCAGCCCCACTCTTACCCAGCTGTCCTCTGCCTCCCTGCTGGTTAAGGGTCGGGACATCTCCTGGGGAGGCGGCTGGAAGGTTCCAACCTGACCCCGCTCTAGACAGGCTCAGGTAGTGCCCCCTCCCCCCATTTCTCCGGAGGTGCTACAGTGAGTTACTTTTCAGTTTCAGGGATGCACGGAGCCAGTCTGCGGGGATGGGGTAGGGCTGGGCAGAGACTCAGAGAGACCAGTTCAGAGAGAGAGGGTATGGAGTGGCCAGAGGCTTTACAGCTTGGGCCGAAGGCGCTCGGGCCGCACTTCTCTGCGCCTCCTTCGGTCGGTGTCTGTCTGGGATCACATTCAGCCCAAACGGAGCCTGGAAAGTGTATTAGGTGGAGAGGCTTTTTCCACGTGTTTGGCACGTTTCCGAGGCCAGGATTCCAGCTCCCTCTGCACGTGTCACAGATCTCAGTCCATCGCAGGTGGAACTTTCAAGGGGTGATTGAAGTCCCTTTGTGGAGGAGGCTCCTGTCCTCTCCCCCTCCACCGGCCGTTTCCAGAGATGGTTTGGGATGCCGTGGGCTTGCGGGTGCCTTAGGGTAGCCGACTCTAGCGGGGTAGACCAGGTTGCCTTGGAGGGCCCTGAGGGCCTGTGAGGGAATGCAGAGTGTCTACACATCACCTGGGCCCAGGCTGATTCTGTTTCGGTCCCAAATTTGCAAGCACACACCCACGAAGCTGTCTCAACTGCACCCTGCCTTGGAGGGAGATAGAAGTAGCTGGGCGCTAAAACAAATCCCCAACCATCCATTAGGATAGAACCCGGGGTGCTCTCATAGCGATCCCGGCGGGATCGAATTCCACAGGTTCTTGGGCCCCAACCTTCCCGACGCTCCTCCTCCCCTGGTGGCGACTCCATACCCCAGCGGCTGGTTCGCCACCCGGGTGCCTCCTTCGGCCCCTGACCGGAGATGTGGCGAGGACGCCTCGCAGGTCTCGGACCCAGAGCCCCGCCCTCTCCCGCCTTCCTGGAGTTTGGCTGCGGCGTCTTTGACCCACATCTCCTCCCGCAGCCCTCAGCTCCGAGCGTGCCCGGCTGGGAGAGGCCTCAATCTCCCTTTGTGAGGCTGCTGGCCCGCGAGGTTGGCAGCGATGGCTTCCAGATGGGGCCGAGACGCTGCCCGTGTTTACTTAACCGGTTCCTCGCGGAGACCTGTGAATCAGGCTCTGTGTGCACTCGAGAAAAGCCCCATTCATGAGAGGCGAGGCCCGGTGGGCGCCCCGGACCCCGACCTCTCCCACAAAGCCCCCCTGTGCCCCGGCCCCGCGCAGCGCAGCGGCGAAGCCAACAGTTCCCCGAAAGAGGCCGCTTTTTAATTGGCGGCCACAAAGAGTCACTTGTGCCTCGCGGGGGCCCGGGAACCGGATCGGGCGCGGGCTGCGTCTGCGCGGCGTCCGGCGGCATTGGTGACCGCGCGAGGCTCCTCTGTCCACACCCAGCGGATCTGGTTACCGGCTGGCTCCTTTCTGGGACGTTTAATCCATTTTGCGCTCTCCCAGTGTCTGGGCCAACCGGGCAGGAGCCGCAGCCGTCACTCTCACTTGATGCTGCCTGCCCCTAACCCCTGCGCCCGCGCCCAGCAGGGTGTACAGCGCCCCCTCCTCCCGGGGGCCGCCTTGGCAGAGGTGGGCTCTTCCTTAGAGCGCTCGGGACGCTGCTCTCCAACACTCGACGTGGCCGCCAGCGTCCACACCACCAGTTGTTGCAGCCCCGGGTCCCACAGCTCTGTATTCCGCTGGGATCTCCCGGCCATGCCCTTGCCCACCGGCCAGGTGTGTGTTTTCCTGGTGGAAACAAAGAGGAACATTTGTCTTGGATTTTCACCCTCCTGGAGGAGCAGGGGCAGGTCCCTGCCTTTCCCCGCCTCCCAAATTGTGGCTCCTTCCCATTATTCAGCCCTGGCTGCCACCTCGGCTTTGGGGATTTGACGAGAAAAACAGCTCAGGGCGCTCCCCAGCACGTGGTGCGGGCGCTGCGCGGCGCAGCTCTCCGCACACGTTTCATTCGCCGCGCTGTGGGAGGGACCAGTGTCTCCTCTCATGCTCGCATTCTTGGAAGAGGCAGGCCTGGGAGGGCGGTCTCAGCCCAGGCCAGGCATTCAGCGCCTCCTGCCCCCAGCCTGGGGAGCGCTCTCTGGACTCCTCTCCAGGGCAAGCCGCTGCAAGTCAGCCCTGCCCCCAAGTGGTCCTAACCCTAATGAGGCTTAAAGGCTGCCCTCCACAGGCCCTACCTGGACTCTGTTTTTTGGAGGTTGAGTGCTTATAGTTCCAAACTTCTGTGGGTGGACTTTTCGACATTCCTTCTGAGTTTTAGCCCTCAGTTGTTTAGCAAATCCCATAATTTCAGCAGATAAAAGCCCTGTCTGCCAGAGGCTGGGGTCTCCCAGTTTTCTCCCTCTGCTCTGTGCTCACAGCCTCAGAGATCTGCCCAGTGTCAGCTTGGGCCCCATCCCTGTCTCCGCCAGGCTCTGTGGGGTGGGGGGAGAGTAAAACTGCAGCTCCCCACCTTCTGGGGTCCAGACTTTCCTTGTGCAGGAGCAGCACACGGCCAGGCACCTAGTACTCGTTTGGCAAGCACCTTGGAGAATGAAAGATGTTTGGAGAACTAGCTTGTTGGTTCCTCCTGTTGGATGACGGAGCCTACATTCTTCAGCATCTGAATGCTGTAGAGTTGATCATACCTCTTTCTCTTTCTCTCCCTGGCCTCTCCCCCCACCCCTGTCCTCCACACACTGCCCCCTCCCCTTGCCCCTGCTTGGTGCAGAGGAGGCTGGCAGCTGTGTGCAGGAGGGGAAGAGGTATAATGATAAGGATGTGTGGAAGCCGGAGCCCTGCCGGATCTGTGTCTGTGACACGGGGACTGTCCTGTGCGACGACATAATCTGTGAAGACACCAAGGACTGCCTGAGCCCCGAGATCCCCTTCGGAGAGTGCTGCCCCGTCTGCCCTACTGACCTCGCCACTGCCAGTGGTCGTAATTTATTTATCTCCTGTTCAACATAAATAAATTACTTGCGTCTCCCCATGGATGCTGGTCACCCTGCAAGGCAGAGGTGCTGGGGATCCATGGGCCCTCGAGGCTGGGGCAGGAAGGAAAGGTCACTTCTCACTTAAGCAGCACTGGCCTAGACAGGCCCTTCCCTTGCCTCCAGACATGGGCTTCCAAGACCCACAGAAGCCCCTCTATGGAATCGCCTGTGCAATGGCTGGAGCTGGCATGGAGACCAGATGCTCAGTCTGGCCAAGACGTGTGCTAATCCCCCTCTGCTGGCCATGCCCCATCTCTACTGGAGAGGCAAGGGCAGGCCCTCCTCCTAGGACGGACGTGGGTGGCAGCTGTCTCTTTGCTGTAACTTCCCTCGAGGGCAGCCACCAATGCACAAGCAGTTTCGGAGAGCAGATGTGGCTCCAGGACCGTGAGTGATGGAGGGTGGCAATGGGGCTAGGACAGGGACCTGAGAAGTGGCCTTTCCTTGACCCTTCACCGGCACTGGCTCCCTTCATGCCAGTGAAGCGTCCACGCCTGTGTGGTGTGCCGCTGCTGTTGGGGGCGGGGCAGCATTAATCTGGGGTGGCACTGGCTGTCGTGCTCTTGGTAGCCCTGTGCCCTCCGTTGTGAGTGCTTGCTCTGAGGAGAGCCTGCTCTAACGCGAGACCTCTCAGCTCCTGACTCTGCGGGGGTGTGGGGGTGGGACTTGAGAGGGGCTCCCCCCCGGGGGGTTGAGGCCTGCTCCCTGCTCTCCGTCTCTCTCGCTGGCTGGCAGTCTTGAGCTCTCTCGCTGGCTGGCAGTCTTGAGCTCTGTGCTTTCCTGTTGCCGCTCTAGCTCTTTGTTCGCATGCCACCTGCCTTCTGGATACCAAAGCCTGGGGCACCTCTCGGTAATTGCAGGGCACAGCGACCCTGACCCCTTGGGGGTCAGCAGAATGACTGGACGCTGCCCCCTTCCTTGGTTGTGGCCTCTCCTTTGTTTGACACCCATCAGAGTGTGTGAGTGTCAGGAACTGTTCTTGACCATTGCACGAATCTGACCATCTCTCTCTCTCTGTCTTCCCTCACAGGGAAACCAGGACCAAAGGTAAGGGCTTGTTTTCTCCCCTCCCCTCCTCTCCTCTCTCTGTTTTGCTCTTTGCATTTCCTTCTTTAGCAGCTGTGCCTCGCCGAGCTGGCCTGCAGTTCTCCTGACGGCTGTGTCGGGGGCTCCTGCTTGCTGGGCTTGGTGCTGGGGGCTAAGTGTGTTCACTGAGCTTCAGCCTGCACGTTTCACATTTCAGGGGCAGAAAGGAGAACCTGGAGACATCAAGGATGTGAGTAGAGGTTGTGCCCACACTGCTGCACCTCCTGCTCCGGTGGGCATCCTTTTCTTGACTGTCCCCTCATTTGTCCCCCTGGTGTCTCTTACAGATCGTAGGACCTAAAGGACCCCCTGGGCCTCAGGTGAGAGAGGGAGGAGTCCCTGCCCCAGGGGTTGCCCTGCGTCCGAGTTGCTGCCGTGCAGGATCCTCGCCTTGCTATCCCCTCACCTCTTTCTCCACCTTTAGGGACCTGCAGGTGAACAGGGACCCAGAGGTGACCGTGGTGACAAAGGCGAAAAGGTGAGTAGAGAGGGACACTGCCTGACCCTGCAGGCCCCCTGGGTCCTCCAACTCTCCCCCCCCCCACCTCTGCAGGAGCAGCCTGGGACAGGTGATCCTTGAAGAAACACTCCATCACATTGATGCTCTTCTCTCTTACTTCCAAGGGTGCCCCTGGACCTCGTGGCCGAGATGGAGAGCCTGGGACCCCTGGAAATCCGGGCCCCCCTGGGCCCCCTGGACCGCCCGGCCCCCCTGGCCTTGGTGGAGTAAGTGTCCTCACTTCCCCTCCTTCAGGCTGTCCCTTCAGAAGTGTGGTTCCAAGTTGCCACTCACCCTCACCTGGTGGGCTCCCAGGGCTGCCGGCAATGTCTGGCGTTTAGTGGGATCACACACAGGCCAGAGGACGTGATGCCCAGGGCCCCTGTTTCCCACACTGGGTATCTCCTAGATCTGAGCCATGTGGTGGGCTCTTGGGGCTGGGGGTAGGGGAAAGGCTGACTGAGCACTTGTGTTTCTCTGGAGGAAGGGTGACCACTGTCCTTGGAAGATACTCATTCTTGGTCCTTGCCAAGTGCATTCCCAGCAAGCACTGATTCTCATGAAAGAGCCCCACTGAGGGGAGGTGTGTGGCTGCGGTCGCCTCTGGAATCAAACCAACCAACGACTGCCTTGCCCGGTTCGTGCCGGCTTGCCGCTTCCACGACTGCTGAAACGTAAAAGCGCTCACTACATCCCCTGCTGGAGTAATTCCAGATGTTGACTGCAGTCTTGGAGAGCAAAGGACGCCTTTAGCAGGGGTGTGCTGGTTGTGTCTCTCAACACACGTGAAGTAACCGATGTAGTGTTTTAGAACATAGAAGGACTTTGATAGACTGGGCTGCCAGGGACTGACACGCGTGCAGTCAAGACTTGCTCTTCCAGGCAAGTGGTCTCACCGCTGACATCCGGCATTCCCCAAGCTGCATCCCGGGCATCCCTCGTGACTCTGATCGGTGCTAGGTTAGCCTCCGGCAGTCGGAGCCCTTCTGTCCAGATGTGGTTTCCTTGGCCAAGTGGAGGCGACCCAGGCCTCGCAGCCCCTTGATGTTGGGGGGTTCATTTTCAGAACTTTGCTGCCCAAATGGCTGGAGGATTTGACGAGAAGGCTGGAGGCGCCCAGATGGGAGTGATGCAAGGCCCGATGGTAAGGAAGAACGCCTGTTCTCTACAGCCGTGTGACGGCGGGTACCCTCTGCCGTGCAGGTCCTGGCCTGGAACAGCTCCCCTGTAGTTAGTCCAAGCATCTGGGCTGTGCTGGTGGCGGCACCAGCATGGATGATGTGCCAGAGTGGCTAAGACCGGGGTGGGAGTGGCTGCCGGACCAGAATCTGAAGAGCAGTGTCAACTGCTCGCCCGTGTGCGGGAGACTTCTGTGGGAACCCCTGCAGCCCTGGCTAAGCAGAGAGCAGGCATTAGTGAAGGAGAAAGCAGGGCCGGCTTGTCTGTCCCTGAAGACTGCTTGCTGTGGGGGTGGGAAGTGAGAAGGAGTGGCACTGGGGGCCCCGGTCCTCTCTCTGGGCAAAGGTGGCACCCCAGGGGCTGCTGGAGGGTGTGTCCGGTGAACCTCATGTCTTTCTCCCCATGCAGGGCCCTATGGGACCTCGAGGGCCTCCTGGGCCTGCTGGTGCCCCTGTAAGTACTGGTTCTCCCCGCTGGGGGTGACTCCTGTGCTCACCACACTCTGTGGTGGCTTGGAGGTTTGCAGGGTCAACATAGTGTTCTCTCTTGACTTCTTAGGGACCGCAAGGATTTCAAGGCAACCCTGGGGAGCCTGGCGAGCCTGGCGTCTCTGTGAGTTTTGGCAGGGGCCCCATCCCTCTCCCGGGAGCCTTGATGAAAGACCCCTGGGACCATCCAAGGAAGTGCAGATGTCACTTCTTGGCTTTGGCAACTGTGTCATGACTGTGCCAGGAGTTTTGGGTGACTGGCATCCAAAACCAGCTCCTGAAGCTCCGCCCGTGGAGTCTGCACCTCTGACATCTGCTGCTTTGTCTGCAGGGTCCCATGGGTCCCCGCGGTCCCCCTGGCCCTCCTGGCAAGCCTGGTGACGATGTGAGTAACTGGTCGGGCACGAGAGGGTGTGCGTGGGGTGGGGGGAGCAGTCCTGTGTCTCTACTTGGCACTCGGCTCGCAAGTTCCCTGTGGCTGCATGAGCCCCAGGAAGGGAAACAGAACTGAGGCATGGGAGAGGGGAAAGCCAGGCAGAGAGACACAGAGGAGAAGAACAAGGAGCCAACTACGGGCGTGACCCTCGTAGTGAGGGAGCAGCGGCCCGAGTCAGGTGTCTGCAGAGGATGCAAAGGAAACCAGAGGCAGAGGGCTCGAGCCGCCTCTGTGAGTCACTACACAGACAGCAGAGGGCTCTGGGGGCTGGGGAGAGGGCCAGCAGAGGAGAAAGGGAGCTCCCAGGGGAGCGGGACACCATGCCCGTGTCAGAGGAACAAATCCTGGCTGGAGGAGCCGTGGTGTGGAGGAAGCCAGTGGCAGGCGGCCAGCGGGCTGCTGTCAGGTGCGTGCTCCCTGTGCAGTGCCACCCAGAGGCTGAGGCTTCTCTCTGTCCCCAGGGCGAAGCTGGAAAACCTGGAAAACCTGGTGAAAGGGGCCTTCCCGGCCCTCAGGTAAGCCCTGCCCACTGCAGCCCCCAGGGTCTTCTAGGAGGGTCCCCAAGAGCCTTCTGACCTACACAGGTCATGTTCGGGCGAGCCCCCTGTGACACGCAGCAAGACTAGAGCACTGTGCTGAGGTCGTGATTGGGGTCCACCCCCACACAGGCCTGCGAAGGAGGGTGGGAGGGGACTGTGTCCACTTTGCACAGCTAAGGAGGCTCAGGGAGGCGAGGCCTGCATCTGACCCAAAGACTGTGAGAGTGCTGGGGTCCCTGCTCCTGTTCCCCTGTGCTCTGACTGCTTCCTCTGTGGGTTGCAGGGCGCCCGTGGCTTCCCGGGAACCCCAGGCCTTCCTGGTGTCAAAGGTCACAGAGTAAGTACCCGGTGAGGTGTGCTGGGGTCTGTAACCCTCCTGTTTGTGTTCCTGGAGCATGACCGTGCTTCCTCCTGTTCCACAGGGCTACCCAGGGCTGGACGGAGCAAAGGGAGAAGCTGGCGCTCCAGGCGTGAAGGTGAGCGGGCAGGCGGGCGGGCAGGGCCCGGAGTCCTGGCGGGCGGACGGCAGGTGCCCCTGGAGCTGCCGCTGGGCTGTGGCAGAACTTCCCGCAGCTTCCTGGGAGTGTGTGGCGGGCGGCCACCCTGAGCTCGTGCCCTTCCTCTGCAGGGTGAGAGTGGCTCCCCCGGCGAGAATGGCTCTCCAGGCCCCATGGTGAGTGTGGCCCCAGACTGTGATCAGTTACCACCTCCCTGTAGGCAGGGCAGACGCAAAACAAGGGGCTAGGTGGGCTGTTTGCTGCGCATGCTCCGGGTCACACACCGTGTGCCGTGATGCTGAGATGTTGTTTCTTCTCAACATTTCAATCTCCTGCAAGGAGCGAGAGGTGGGGGGACGTGGCTCTGCAGGGGCAGCCCCCGGAGCACCAGGCCTGGGGAGGGGGCAGGTTGCACTTCCCACGTCGACTGCCGCGGAGTCAGCTTACGCCTGGGCTGTCCCGATGTTGTTCCAGGGTCCCCGTGGCCTCCCTGGCGAGAGAGGACGGACTGGCCCCGCTGGCGCTGCAGTAAGTAGTTGAAGGGTGCCTAGTTCACGTGCTGTGGCCGTCACAGCCACTGTGAGGCGTGCAGAACCCCTGCACCCAGAGCTCACTCGAGGGTGCCTGCCCTGCGGGTTCCAGCCAGCCCCTCACCCTGTCAGTGCAGCTGGACACTGGGGCTCCCGGGCACCCAGCAGACTTCACAGTCTTGCCTCAGCCCCCGCTGCTGGTGGTGCCTCCCCCATCATCCCATGAGGCAGGTTCTGGTCTTCTCACTGTGGAAGAAGACACTGAAGCACGGAAGGTCACGGAGCCCATGGCCAGGTGCCCTGGTCAATGTCAGGAAGTGGGCGCAAGGGGGTTGGCAGCCAGTGGGGGTGCAGCTCTGACCCCCCGAGAGCCGTTCCACTCGTGGATCCTGCTGCCCGCCACATGGGACATCTGCGTGCCGGGAAGCCCCTCAGCTGTGCCTGGAGCCCTTGTTGCCGGGCTGCTGCAGGGCCCTGCCCCGGGCTCCCTTTGTGTGAGGGTTGGAGGGTGCTGGCAGATGAGTGGGATGTGGCCGCGGCTGGTGGTGGCTGCAGTCACAGTGGCTGGGGCGTCCTGCTTCACGGCACCCCTGCTGGTTGGGCTGGCTGTGTGCAGGGTCCAGCACAGGAGGCTGGCGGTGTGGCTTTCCTCTGGCCTGTGCCCTCCAGGCCTCAGCCCTCCGTCCCCCAGCAGCCTCCCGAGCTGCGCAGGTGCCTGTTCTGTGCTCGGGGCCCGAGGCCCCCGCCGGCTCTCCTGTGAGCCCAGAGTCGAGGCTGGGGACTGGGGGCTCCCTGCCGCCCTGGCCCCTGAAGAAGGAGCCCAGGTCTCCCAGGGTCATGGTCCTAGCTCTGCCAGTGCCGCAGCTCCTGTTGGGCTTTGTCTCATTCCTGTGCGTGCCACCCTGGCCTCTCGCTTGCAGGAACGACCCAGAGCCAGGGGCAGGTGGTGTGCACGGCCTCCTCCTTCGGCTTCCGAGGAGAGGCAGGGGTGGGCAGGGGTCTCACCATGGAAAGGCCCAGCTCCACCCAGCCCAGGGGCTCCTGGACTGTGAGTCATCAGGGTGCTGAGCACAGAGCCGGGCCCAGTCCTGCTGGGGAGGAAGGGGCCTTGCCTTGGGCCATGGCTGGGCCTGTGATCCTGGGCCGGGGAGGCAGCCTGCCTCAGCGTAGGTTGTCTGGAGAGGGGCTGCGCTGCTGGGCCACTGTGCTTCCATCCTGTCCCCGGGGGCCTCCAGGTTAGGGAGACTCGCCGTCTAGCAGGACGGTTGTGGGTGATGGAGCGCTCGGCACCCGACCTGAGCTTCGAGTGAGAGAGGAGCAAGGCTGTTGTTCTGGCCACCCGGCGGGCAGACCCCTACGCCTCCCGGCCCCGTGCTCAGCAGGGACACCACGCGGTGCCCACAGGGTGGGTGGGGCGGGCCAGCGCGATGCTCACGGTGCTGTTCCCTTCTCCTCACAGGGTGCTCGGGGCAACGACGGCCAACCAGGACCCGCCGGGCCTCCGGTGAGTCCCTGTCGCACCCAGCAGGGGCCATCAGGCAGCTCAGCGAGGCTGCAGTGACCGCAGCAGATGCTCGCGTCACTGGGAAGGGGGGAGGGGGGAGGGGGGAGGGAGGGGGGAGGTGTGGAGCCACAGCCAGGCTGAGCTTCCTCCAGGGGTTGCAGGCCAAGGCGGCTGCAGGGGGAAGATGGCAGGGGCTGCAGAGACCCCGTCCAGGACTGCTGCTCACCTTTCTACCCTCCCCTCTGCAGGGTCCTGTCGGTCCCGCTGGCGGTCCTGGCTTCCCTGGTGCTCCTGGGGCCAAGGTGCGTGTCCCCTCCCCACAACCCTTGCCAAGCCCCCTCTGTCCAAGGAGTCTCTCCCCACCCCCACTCTGCCCACTGCTGCTGAGGTCCAGAGGTGGCCAGGAGGAAAGCACAGGGGACAGCGGAGATGGGGGGGCTGCAGGCTGGGAGGGGTAGCAGGGGCCGGGGCCGGTGCACTCTTGACAGAGGCTGGGCCCAGCCCGTTAAGGCCCCGTGCCTGGGGGGGTTCCAGGCATGAACAAGAGGCCTCGATGTCACTGGCATCAGATGGCTCTGCCCCTCCTGGGGGTTTCCACGGCAACCAGACAGTGTCTGAGGCCCTGTGAGCCGGGTGAAGGGGACCCATTGTGAAGAGGGGCAGCGGAAGGTGAGGGGCCCGACCTCAGGAAAACGTAATCACAGCCGTGAAGCCGAGGCTCTCCCGAAGGAAACCTGAGCTGGCCCTGCCCTCTCTCCAGGTCGGCGGCCCTCCCTGGGGGCCCGTCTAGAGCTCAGAGCTCAGCGTTGGAACTTTCAGGAAAAGGAGAGTCAGAGCCGAGGCGTCTGGGGGAGGGGCTGCCATGAGAGCAGGGGCCGCTTGGGCGCTGCAGGCGCAGGCAGTGCCCGGCGGAGGTGACTGAGTGTTCACTTCCAGAGCCTCAGCTCTTTACTCCCAGAAATGGAGGCTCCGGCCGGGCTGCCCGGCCCTGGAGCTGGGGCGCTGTGTGGAGCGGAGAAGGCACCCGGCCCACAGCTTGGTCAGCTGGGGACGAGGGACAGGCCGTGTGTCAGCTCGGCTTTCGGGGCTGTGTGGACCCCGAGAGGCCAGTGTCCACTCCTCTCTTCATGCCACCTTCCCCATCTCTCCCCAGGGTGAAGCTGGCCCCACAGGGGCTCGCGGCCCCGAAGGCGCCCAGGGTCCTCGCGGTGAACCTGGCACTCCTGGGTCCCCTGGGCCTGCTGGGGCTTCTGTAAGTACAGCTGCTCGTTGTCCTGGAGGTGGGAGTCTGTGGCCTTCATCCTGGCCCAGCGCCTGCCCCGGTCTCTGGCCGTGGCTCCCTCTGGGCACTCCCATGTGCAGTAGGGATGGCACTGGGATGGAGGTAGGAGGCCTGGTGCTCACGCGATGACGGCCCTGTCTCCTCTTTCAGGGCAATCCCGGAACAGACGGAATTCCTGGAGCCAAAGGGTCTGCTGTGAGTGCCGTCCTCGCCCTGCCCTCTCCCCGCCCGCCCCCCATGCCCTCGCCTGACCCCTGACCACCGCCCTCTGCTCCTGCGCAGGGTGCTCCTGGCATCGCTGGTGCTCCTGGCTTCCCTGGGCCTCGTGGTCCTCCTGGCCCTCAAGGTGCAACTGGTCCCCTGGGCCCCAAAGGCCAGACGGTGAGAGCCCAGAGCCAGCCCCTGCAAGCCCTGTGGGGTCAGCCCCACCACCTGGCTTCTGGCGCGGGGCCCCAGAGTGAGGCCCTGCCCCATTCGTTCTCTCTCTCAGGGTGAACCTGGCATTGCTGGCTTCAAAGGAGAACAAGGTCCCAAGGGAGAACCGGTGAGTGTATGCCCCAGGCCCTGTGCCCCTGCCTTCCCCCCCACCCCCACCGGCCTGGGCCCTCTCAGGCTGCACTGGGAGAAGGCCTGACCCAGCTCCTGCTCCCACTCCCACAACCCTGCTGTTCACAGTGGGTGCCTGCAGGCCCCTCATTCCCAGCCCCCAGCGTGGGCAGCTCCCGCCCCCACCCTGAGCCCCTGGGCCCCTCGCCCTCAAGCCCCCACCCCAACACAGCTCCTGCCCCCACCCTGGGCCCCTCGCCCTCAAGCCCCTGCCCTCACACAGCTGCTGGGGCTCCTCTCTCTCCGGCTGCCCAGTGCTTGCCGCAGGGCCAGGTGGAAAGTCACCTTGTCTTTCTCATGTGTTTGTCCCCAGGGCCCGGCTGGTCCCCAGGGAGCCCCTGGTCCCGCTGGAGAAGAAGGCAAGAGAGGCGCCCGAGGAGAGCCCGGCGGTGCTGGGCCTGCTGGTCCCCCTGGAGAGAGGGTGAGTGGACGAGGGTGGAGGGAACATGCCTGGTTGTGCTCTGGATTGTTCCCTTGCTGGGCCATGTGACTACTCTCACCCACCACCCTGGGGTCCGCTCATGCTCATCCATGTCCCTGTCATGGCTGACATGGAGCAGTCATGGAGCCCCTCCCAGAACGATGCGCCAGGCCCACCAGGTCACCTATCAGTCTTGCAGGCCTGGCCGCTGCTTTGTGGCTGCTTTGTCTGGGCCGCTCTCACCACCACCTCCTCCTCCACTATTTCTAGGGTGCTCCTGGCAACCGAGGTTTCCCAGGTCAGGATGGTCTGGCAGGGCCCAAGGTGAGTGGGGAAGAGGGACTGAGCTCCCCACAGCATCCCTGATACGTGGCGTGTCCTGACTCCCTCCTCCTCTTGGGTAGGGAGCCCCTGGAGAACGAGGGCCCAGTGGCCTTGCTGGCCCCAAAGGAGCCAATGGTGACCCCGGCCGCCCTGGAGAACCTGGCCTTCCTGGAGCCCGGGTAAGACCCCCCCCTACAGCCCCTGGCACTCTTCCTGTGGGTCCTTCCCACCTCAGGACTCTCCTGACATCACCTCTCTCCTTCACTGAACAAAGGGTCTCACTGGCCGCCCCGGCGACGCTGGTCCCCAAGGCAAAGTCGGTCCTTCGGTAAGTCCTGGGGCAGGTGGGTGGGTAGGAGAGCTGGGGGGTGCTGGGCCTCATGAGCTCTGAGGTGTCATCTGGGTACCTCCTGGTGGATGCTCTGGGTACCTGGATGCCCAACAACACCTGTCATGGAGTGGCTTGTACATGGTCAGCCCTGGGTGCTGGATGCTATGGCCCCTGCCTACTCCCGAGTCTGCCCACAGTGGGCACTGAAAGGACACGTTTGGGCAGGTGTGGTCAGTGTCTGTGGTCCTGAGTGGGATCCATCCTCTCTTTCAGGGAGCTCCTGGTGAAGATGGTCGCCCTGGACCCCCCGGTCCTCAAGGGGCACGTGGACAGCCTGGCGTCATGGGCTTCCCTGGCCCCAAAGGTGCCAATGTAAGTAGTGGTGTGTTAATTTCTCCCTGCCATGTGGTGCTGACTGCAGCTGTGCCCCTCGGGGAGGGGGCTGCAGACCTGAGAGACCGGGCAGAGGGGGTTCCCTGGGTACCCTGGCCTCACTGTCCTGCAGGCCCGGAGTGATCTGGGGGCACCTGGGAGCCTAAGATGCTGCAGCCACGATGTTCTGTGGGCAGTGCCCAGAGGCTGCCACCAGTGACGCCTGTGTATGCCAGAGCAGAGCTGGCACCAGCCCCTCTGTCCTGCTGTCCCTTGGGATGGCCGTCAGCTGCTCCTCACCTAAAGCTCATGTCTTCTTCCTGCAGGGCGAACCTGGCAAAGCTGGTGAGAAGGGACTTCCTGGAGCTCCTGGCCTGAGAGTGAGTGTCCCTCCCCTGGCCCTTCTTGTTGATGGCTGTGCCCTAGGCATGTCCTGCCATAGCCCACATCGGGAGCCCTGCAGGGTCCACCTAGGGCGTGGGGCAGGCTCCCCTGCAGAGAGAGATGGGGACGGTGGACACGGAGCTCAGCTGGGGTCACAGAGACTGCAGAGCTGAAAAGATGCTTGTCACGATGCCACATTTTTCTTTTCCCTCTAGGGTCTTCCTGGCAAAGATGGTGAGACAGGAGCTGCAGGACCTCCCGGCCCTGCTGTAAGTAGCTGCCTGTGGGCAGGGGCTCAGGGCCACCCAGTAACGGAGCTGGCAGCTGTGGACTGGGCTGGGCTAGGTGGACCCCTTTGGAGGCTGGGGACACCTGTGAGCTCTCCTGCCACCTGTGGCCTCCCCCAGGCTGTCTTGCTGCTCAGAGCGTGGCTCACTTCCCCTGTTCTCTCCTCTGCAGGGACCTGCTGGTGAGCGTGGCGAGCAGGGTGCTCCTGGGCCTTCTGGGTTCCAGGTAGGTGGCCTAGCCAGGCTGGCTGTCCAGTCCCTGTCCTCACGGGCCCTCTGGGGCCCACACTTCCCTGCATCCCTGGCTCTCAGGGCTAGCGCAAGAAGGTTGTTCCGCTGTTGACTCTTGTCACTCTGCCTTCCAGGGACTCCCTGGCCCCCCCGGCCCCCCAGGTGAAGGTGGAAAACCAGGTGACCAGGTGAGTGTGGGGCTCTTTGCAGCTGGAGTTTGGAGGGGCCCCCAGGAGGGGATGTTCACCATCTGAGGCTGGAAGCCTTCATCCTCTCACACCTGTGTCCTTTTCTCCAGGGTGTTCCTGGTGAAGCTGGTGCCCCCGGCCTCGTGGGTCCCAGGGTGAGTGTTCCTCAGGCCTGTACTGTCCCTGTGCAGTTCTGCCAGTACCTCCCAGCACCGCGGCCTGTCCACCTGCCTCCCTGCTCCTACCCCCACCCCCACCCCCAGCACACACACCCTGCCACTGCTCTTGCCTGATCGTCCTTGGCCCTGGCTGCAGGGTGAACGCGGATTCCCAGGTGAACGTGGCTCCCCAGGTGCCCAGGGCCTCCAGGGTGCCCGTGGCCTGCCTGGCACCCCTGGCACTGATGGCCCCAAAGTAAGTGAGGCCGAGGCCTGCAGGGGCCTCCCTGGGGGTAGGGAGGAGTGGGAGATGGAGCAGGGGGGAGGGGTGTGGGACCCTGGAGAGGCACTGCCCACCACAGACCCCCTTCTTGCCTCCCACCCCAGGGTGCACCTGGTCCTGCTGGCCCCCCTGGGGCTCAGGGCCCCCCAGGTCTGCAAGGGATGCCTGGAGAGAGGGGAGCAGCGGGCATCGCAGGGCCCAAGGGAGACAGGGTGAGTGCCAGTTCTTGTGCTTCTTGCCACCGTGTTCCTGTCCCTGCCCCTGGAGACCTCAAAGCCTCCCAGTGGTACCCACCCCTGCCACCCATCACCTCATCCCTGAGGCCTCAGCCAAGCCCTCGGGTGGCATCTGAGCACTAGGGCCCCCTCCAGGGTGGCCTGAGCTGGCACGGGGTACCGGAGTGGCCCCTGAGGCTGCCGGCTTCCTCTTGTAGGGCGACGTTGGTGAGAAAGGCCCCGAGGGAGCCCCCGGAAAGGACGGCGGACGAGTGAGTGACTTTGGCCACAGGGCCCTGGGGACTGGAGTGGATGGACCCTGCAGGAGAGCAGGGAGGACGGCTGGAGAGCGGGTGGGGGTGTGGAGGGTCCCTGGGCTGTGTTGCGTGATGGGACTTGGGACTTCCTGTGACAGGCCAGAGGGCTGAGTGGGTGCCCTGGCTCCACTGGGCAGCCCCAGTCTCTGCAGAGGCCTGGCCCCTGCTTCCCTCACGCCACTGTCCCCCCTCTCAGGGTCTGACTGGTCCCATCGGCCCTCCTGGCCCGGCTGGCGCCAACGGTGAGAAGGTGAGTGGACGCCATCTCGTCTCCTGCTGTGTGGTGGCATCTCCTCCCCGCTCAGCTGTTGGCCTCCTGCCTACCTGGGGCTGGGGGAGTGAGGGCTGGGGGTCTGCTCAGGACTGAGATGTGGCTGTGGGCTGTGCAGTGGGCCTGCAGTGGGCATGTGTTCCGCACAGCATGGGGAGAGTGGCCCCTGCATGTGCCTGGGTCTCAGAGGCCTGGTCTCACTCTGACTCCCCACGCACAGGGAGAAGTTGGGCCTCCTGGTCCTGCAGGAAGTGCTGGTGCTCGTGGGGCGCCGGTGAGTATCTCAGAGGCGACTGCTGGGGGCAGACGGGAAGGGGGAGACGTCCCAGCAACCGCGGTGCAGGTGGGAGGAGACTTGGGCCCACAGAGCTCCTGACCAGGAGGGGCTTTGGTCAGGACTGGCAGGGGCCTGAGCTCACCCGGGGCCCTCCTCTCACAGGGTGAACGTGGAGAGACTGGTCCTCCCGGACCTGCTGGATTCGCTGGACCGCCTGTGAGTGTCCCTCCCTCCCCGCTCCCATTGTAGCTCCAGGCCCTGGGCTCTGCCACGCCCCTGGCACCCCACGCTAGTTTGACAACCCTGTCTCAGACACCTGTGCCGGCCCATGCACACATGCATGCACACACACACACACACATGCTCACACATGCTCGATCTCCCGTGCTTTGGGAAGACCTGGAGTCCCCCGCTCTCTGTCTTACTGTGCCCGTGGGTTCCAGGGTGCTGACGGCCAGCCTGGTGCCAAGGGAGAGCAAGGAGAAGCCGGCCAGAAAGGCGATGCAGGCGCCCCTGGCCCTCAGGGCCCCTCTGGAGCACCGGGGCCTCAGGTGGGTGCTCCCCCCACCCCAGCACCGCTCCACAAGGCAGGGGCTCCCGGATGGGAGGGGGAGTCCCAGCAGCTGGATCGGCGGAGTGGTGAGGAGGCTGGGGGACACCCCATGCTGTGTCACAGAGGGGCTTTCGTCGTCCTGGGTGGGGGCCCAGTGAGCACGGGGCCACGGCCGGACAGGCTCCCCCCGGACGGGAGCTGCACAGGCACGAGGCAGCCTCCCAAGCCGTTTCCTTCGGAAATGTCTCTGAACACCGGGCCTCCTGGGCCACTGCCCTCACTGCCGCCTTTCCCTCCCAGGGTCCTACTGGAGTGACCGGTCCTAAAGGAGCCCGCGGTGCCCAAGGCCCCCCGGTGAGTGAGGCCCCGAGGCTGGCCCCCTTCCCCTGCTGCCCCTGCAAGTCCCTGCCCAGGGGCATTCAGGGGCTTCTCTCTCCACACACAGGGAGCCACCGGATTCCCTGGAGCTGCTGGCCGCGTCGGACCCCCCGGCTCCAATGTAAGTGATGCCCTCAGCTGGGCCCTTCCTTACTCCCTGCCCACTGCCACCCCTGGGAGGAGAAGCTGACTGACCACAGACAGCAACCCAGAGATGGCTGGGCCTGAGCTTCAGCCTGGGGCTCAGCGGGCAGCAGGGGCTCTGTGGTCACCTTCATCCAGGCATAGCCTTCTCAGCTGGCCTAGGAGCCCGCGCAAGGGCCCTTGTGGCCACCTCCACGTGCAGAGCAGGGCTGGGGCAGGGGTGTAGGAACGCGTGCAGGGAAAAGCGCACACATGCAGGGGCTGGGGAGGCCAGGGCCAGCCACCCCCGCAGTCACAGGGGCACAGTCCTGCACTGGGGTGGGAAGCTGTGATCCCCAGGAATGCGATCTGAGTTCTCACTTCCTGCACCTGCTCCTCCAGGGCAACCCTGGGCCCCCCGGCCCCCCTGGTCCTTCTGGAAAAGAAGGCCCCAAAGGAGCGCGAGGAGACAGCGGCCCCGCCGGCCGAGCTGGAGACCCCGGCCTCCAAGGTCCTGCCGGACCCCCTGGCTTGAAGGGAGAGCCTGGAGACAGCGGTCCCTCCGTAAGTCCCTCACCAGGCGCCAGAGAGCAGGGGGCTGTGGGGTGCTGGACAGCAGCACTCAGCTCTTGTCTCGCTTCTTCTCATAGGGCGCCGATGGCCCCCCAGGTCCCCAAGGTCTGGCTGGTCAGCGGGGCATCGTGGGTCTTCCTGGGCAGCGTGGTGAGAGAGGATTCCCTGGCCTGCCTGGCCCGTCGGTGAGTGAGGGTTCCCAGACCCGGCTGAGCAGGAAGCCTACACTGCAGGGGGTGTCTCTGTCCCGGGCGGTGCTCACCAGTGCCCTCCTCCTGTGTCTCCTCAGGGTGAGCCCGGCAAGCAAGGAGCACCAGGCGCGTCTGGAGACCGAGGTCCTCCTGGCCCCGTGGGTCCTCCCGGCCTGACAGGCCCTGCAGGTGAACCTGGACGAGAGGTGAGTCCTGGGACCTGCCCTGGAGTGGCCCTGACCTGGAGGGGGTGGCCTGGCAGTGAACACTAAGGGCCTCTCGTCCTCCCGCCCAGGGAAGCCCCGGTGCCGACGGACCCCCTGGCAGAGACGGTGCAGCTGGAGTCAAGGTGAGCTCTGGGGTCACGGTCTCCTCCGAGGCCAGCAGGACTTCTGATTTTGCCTCTTCTGGAACATCCGTCTCGGAGTCTGAGACCTGTCTTCCCACAGGGTGACCGTGGGGAGACCGGTGCTGTGGGTGCTCCCGGAGCCCCTGGACCTCCTGGCTCTCCTGGCCCCGCCGGCCCGACTGGCAAGCAGGGAGACCGAGGGGAAGCTGTGAGTACTCTGGCTCAGCAGTGCGGCGAGCAGCCGGGAGGCAGTCCCTGGGCCAGGCACTCCGCCCTGGTCCTCTCCGACCCTGCTCTCTCTCTCTGCCTCCTCACAGGGTGCACAAGGCCCCATGGGCCCCTCAGGACCGGCCGGAGCCCGGGGAATCCCAGTGAGTCCAGTCCTGGAATGATTCCGACAGGGACAAGCCTGGGGGCAGCAGGGCCTGTGGGACCGACTGGCACCTGTCCTGTGTCGCCCTGACCCAGTCCGTGTCTGTCTCATTCCCAGGGCCCACAAGGCCCCCGCGGTGACAAAGGAGAATCTGGAGAGCCCGGCGAGAGGGGACTGAAGGGACACCGTGGCTTCACAGGCCTGCAGGGCCTGCCCGGCCCACCCGTGAGTGTCGCCACCTGCACGCAGCCCCCAGGGCCTTGCTGCTCAGAGCCTACACGAGCCCCCTGCTGCAGGGGCAGCTGGGCGTCGTCCTAACACATTTCTGGGTCTTCCGGGGGCCGGAGGTGGGAGTGGGGTGGCCAGGCCTGCCTCCGCCTCCCTGCTGACCTCCGTGCTCTGCCACGCCCTCTGCACAGGGCCCTTCTGGAGACCAAGGTGCTGCTGGTCCTGCTGGTCCATCCGGCCCCAGGGTGAGTGAGACCCTTCCCGAGGGGCTGGTGTTCCCACTGCTCTGGGGTCGGAAGCCCTGGGGACTGACCGCGGCTGGAAAAACACGCGGGGCCCCGCTGGCCAGGGGCGATCAGGAGGGAGGGTAGCACGGAGCTCTCCTGCCGGCTCCGGGCCTTGCTGCCTGGGGAATCTCACAGTGCAGCCGTGGGGCTGGGGCAGCCACTCTCTCACTGCCTGCCCTCCCCTGCAGGGTCCCCCCGGCCCTGTCGGTCCCTCTGGCAAAGACGGCGCCAATGGAATCCCAGGACCCATCGGGCCCCCCGGTCCCCGCGGACGTTCAGGCGAAACTGGCCCTGCTGTGAGTATCCTGACCCCTCGCCTGTGTCTGGGGTGTCCTGTGGGCTCAGGGCTGCTTCCGGAGCGGCTGCCTTTGTCCCGGGGGCCCTCCGTGGTGCAGGGAAACAGGAGGGGCCCAGGAGGGAGCCCGTTTGCTGAGTCCTGGGCGCCTGCTGACCGGTTTGCTTCCTGCTTTAGGGTCCTCCTGGAAATCCCGGACCCCCTGGCCCTCCAGGACCCCCTGGCCCCGGCATCGACATGTCCGCCTTTGCTGGCCTAGGCCAGAGAGAGAAGGGCCCCGACCCCCTGCAGTACATGCGGGCCGACGAGGCGGCCGGCGCCCTGCGGCAGCACGACGCGGACGTGGACGCCACGCTCAAGTCCCTCAACAACCAGATCGAGAGCATCCGCAGCCCTGAGGGCTCACGCAAGAACCCCGCTCGCACCTGCCGGGACCTGCAGCTCTGCCACCCCGAGTGGAAGAGCGGTGAGCCTGAGGCCCGGCTGGGACACTGGGGGTTGCCCTGCCCCCTCCCACAGCCAGGAGGGGACAGCCTCAGTGCAGGGCAGAGCCAGGCCCTGGCTGCTCTGCGGCTGAAGTGACCCCAGGGTGGATCCCTGCCCTCCTGTGCCCCTCCGTGTCCTGTGCCCTGCCCTCGTTCCCCTGGCCCTCTCGGGCAGGCATTGCCGCTGTGCCTGTCTGAGCCCTGTTGGGTGCTGCCTCTCCCTGCAGGTGACTACTGGATAGACCCCAACCAAGGCTGCACCTTGGACGCCATGAAGGTTTTCTGCAACATGGAGACCGGCGAGACCTGCGTCTACCCCAACCCGGCCACCGTGCCCAAGAAGAACTGGTGGAGCAGCAAGAGCCAGAAGCAGCAGCACGTGTGGTTTGGGGAGACCATCAACGGCGGCTTCCATGTGAGTGTGGCGCTCCGGCTCGGCCGGCTCCTCAAACCCTCCTCTCCTGCGAGGCTCTGGTGCCGGCCCCACCTTTCCCTCCACTTTTCTCCTGGGCTCGAGAGGAAGGGAGGAGCAGGAGTTTATTTCCACAAAACCTGACTTTCAAGAGCCCTCGGAGCTTGCCCCACTCCCTGGAAGCTGAGCCCAGCTCCCCGCCGCACCCCACCGGCAGAGCAGGCAGTGGCTGTGGCCCCTGGGCTTGGTGACTGTGGCTGCCAGGCCTCATGCCCCTGCTCTCGCCCCGCAGTTCAGCTATGGAGACAGCAGCCTGCCTCCCAACACTGCCAACGTCCAGATGACCTTCCTGCGCCTGCTGTCCACTGAGGGCTCCCAGAACATCACCTACCACTGCAAGAACAGCGTGGCCTACCTGGATGAAGCCACCGGCAACCTCAAGAAGGCCCTGCTCCTGCAGGGCTCCAACGACGTGGAGATCCGGGCCGAGGGCAACAGCAGGTTCACCTATACCGTGCTGCAGGATGGCTGCACGGTGAGTGGGGCTGCGCGGCAGGCGCCGGTCCCCGAGCGCTGGGCTGATCCAGGCAGGCCGCAGAAATGCGACTGTCTACACCCCCGGCCCCAGGGGAGTCAGAGCCTGCCCGGCGTGTGGTGTGGAGGGCAAGCTTGCCCGAGGCAGAGCCAGGACAGGCTCCTTGCCAAGGGGGGAGGGCCCAGCTGCCAAGCACAGGAGCTGGAAATGGGGGGGGGGTCGTTGGCAGGCCAGGCAGGAGGTGGCACCTGAGTGGCTCGGGCCCGGAGGTGGGGGCTGCTGGTGCCAGAGACCCCTCCTGAGCGGCCTGCTCTTCTCCCCAGAAACACACCGGTAAGTGGGGCAAGACTGTCATCGAGTACCGGTCCCAGAAGACCTCGCGCCTGCCCATCACCGACATCGCGCCCATGGACATCGGAGGGCCTGAGCAGGAATTCGGGGTGGACATAGGGCCCGTCTGCTTCTTGTAAAAGCTGAGCTCTGAACAGCCAAAGGACCCAAGTGCTCCCACCACAGCCACCCTCGGACTCTGCACTGATGGCGACGGCCCCCACGCCCACTCGCCCCCGCTCTCCAAGAGACCTGAACTGGGCAGACTGCAAAACAAAAGCTGGGTGTTCTATTTATTTATTGTCTTCCTGCCAGACCTCCGGGTCCAGGCAGAGGCAGGAAACTAACTGGTGTGAGTCCAACGCCCCGCCCAGAAGCAAGGCCCGTGCGGGGCTGGGCGCAGGAACCGTGCGTCCTGCACGATGGTGCTACTCCGTGTCAAACACCTCTGTATTTTTTAAAACTTCAATTGATATTAAAAACAAAAAAATTATTGGAAAGTACCCTTGCTGTGTGCTTGGTTCTTTCGCTTGTCCTGCGTTCTGGCTGCACCCAGGGGTGTCCTCAGGCTCTCTCCCATGGCCTGTTCTTCCGAGAGCTGAGCCGCATGGCCTGGCTTAGGGACCTCACACGCACGGCCCGTGGGGAGCTCCAGAGGACGGCCGCGCTGCCTACAGACCACACACAACTGTGCGGGGTGCGGGGCAGAGGCACTCCTGTGCCGGTGATGGGTGCACACAGCCAATCTGGCTCCCATTCTGCCCTTCCTGGGTCCTGCCTTGCCCCGTTGGTTCCCAAGGCCCGGGGCCAACGGAGTGAGCCGTGTCCTCTCCACGGGAGGTGAGGTTGAGGGGTGACAGCACAAGACCAACAGCCTTGTGTGCTGACACTGAGTGTCTGATGTCTGCCTGGGTCCTGCAACAGACACGAGACAACAGGACGAGTGAAAACTCACAGCTCTGAAGCAAGCTGACCCCCGGCTCCCAGAGAGCCAGAGGGTGGAGGAGGGGCGGGCAGCAGGTGAGGCCAGTGCTGATAAAGACCTTCCTGAGGCACAGCTGGAGCCTGAGTCCCACTGGACTCCCCTCTTCCCTGCGCCCAAACAACCAAAGGCCCTCCCCTGCCTGCCTGGGGTCAGAGGCCACGCACCTGCGCACTGCCATGGACTGCCCCCTCAGCTGTCCGCCTGGCCCGGTAGGCAAGAGAGGGTGACCGGGATCATTCCTGATTCCGGGGACAGGCAGGCACTCCCGGCGCCAGCTGGCTGGAGCAGACAGAGCCTGCCGCAAGAGGACGTGGGCACGTCCACGCTGCTCTCTGGGCTGCCGCCTCTCCGACAGCGTCTGACGGCCACACGTCTGCATCCGAGCATCAGCCACGACTCAGTCTCAAGCCTCTGGGCTGCTGGGGAACAACTTCCTGGGTCGCTTCCCTTCAGAACAAGAGCAGGACACAGGACCCTAAAGGCATGCAAACACCTGGGGCCGGCTGACTGCCGCAGAGCCTCCCACAGGCAGGCCGGAGTGGGCCCGAATCCTTGGACGGCTGGCCCTGCTCTGGGGCCGCTGGGGCTGCGGGGAAGCTGGTGGAGCCAGATGGGGCCCCCCAGGCTGAGCAGAAAAGGTGTTTCCAACTTCCAGCCATGGCTCTGGACAAACCGTTTCACATATCGCAACTCTGGGCATACAGCCGGTACCCAATAGATGCTTTTCTGCAGTGAGTCAATGTGGCCACCGGTGGGCGTGGCTTCGGATCCACAGCAGAAGAGGGGCCATTGGGGTGCTCACGTGCCACATCAGGGTCCTGGTTCAAGTCCAGGCCACTGTGTGTCCGGTTCCGGCCTCCTGCCGGCGCGCACCCTGCGTGCTTGGGTCCCCACCAGCCATTTGGGAGAACTGAGTGCAGTTCCGGGCTCCTGGCTTTGGCCTGGCCCCAGCTGTGTGGGCACTGGGGGAGTGAACCAGCAGACAGGAGATCGGTTTCTACCGCACTGGCCACACAGTGGTGGTGCTGAGGTCCCCTGGCCGACCCCCTCTCTCTGCACTTGTTCGAGAGCAGACAGACACCAGATGTCAACCGTGGACATGTCCCCAGGTGTGAGGACGCACCCTCAGGCCAGGCTCCCACTGTCTGAAACGTGCTCCTGGTCTCACCTGAGTGCCACAGCTGGATTCTAGGGCAACACCAAGAAGGAGGAAATACCGGCGAGGCACAGCCTGTCCCCGACCCCAGGGGAAGGCACCCGATGCCGTTGGGAAAAAGGGGACAGCTTGGAGCCAGCAACGCAGACGCCCCGCCGGCCCTGAACACCGCAACCCTGCCTCTGTGCTACTCTGCTCAGCGCAGCCTTGGTGCGAGGACGGAGAGCGCAGAACTCATCACCGAGCACTGAGAACCAGGCAGCTCTGTGACAGCAGCTGCAGGACCCGGGACGCCCTCGGGGCTCCTTCCCTCTCCTTGCCACCCTGCAGCCCGCACTGGCCCACGGAGGTGCGCACGAGGACCCCCAGGCAATCAGAGGAGCTGCAGGTGAGTCCAAACCATGGTTTATTTTTCTATCAAATCCCCAGCCCATGTTCCAGCCAATGAGTGCAGGGGAAAAACGACAAGTCCTCTACTGGAAAAAAGCCTTTTTGGCACTTCAAAAAGTTGCTAGGCATTTGGGAAGAGGTAAGGAAAGGCACATCCTGGGTGCTGGTGCTTCTTGTGGGTGGCCAAGGCTCTGGTCCCTGCAGCTGCTGCTGGCCTCCCATCACCGCTGGGGCCCTCAGCACAGCTGAACAGATCAGAATGAGGTGCTGCCGGCCTTTCCCAGGTGTCCAGTCTGCTGCACGCACAGTGTGCAGCGGGGGAGAGAGCTGCGTGCTCCCTGTTCCACAGGGCGGGGACGGCACGTGGGCCCCGAGAGCGGCGGGCTGCCCGGCTGTGGAATCAGCCCCACAGTCACACAGTGGTGCGTCTCCAAGAGCTCTGGGTCACATGGCCAGGGTAGGAAATTTTCAGTCAAGTCCTAGGGAAAAGAAACACGGGGTTAATCCCCAGTGTGGGATGAAATAAGCAAGAAAATGTCCTGATTTCCTCTAAGTTCAGGCAGCAATACCATGAGCAGAGCACCCATCTCTGCGGCTGGGTGGCCAGGCCGTCCCCCCCAGGGGGCCCTTGACAAGGCTGGGAGAGACTGGGGCTGTTACGACTGAGGGCAGCGGGGCAGGGGCCGGTACCGTCGTCTGGAGGGTAGTGGCTCGGGTGCTGGGGGGCATCTGCAGTGGACGGCCTGCCTGGGCGTCCTCCGTGTCCAGGGGCCGGCCATAAACCCCTCACATTCACAATGTCTGTGGCAGACCCTGTCAATTGCAAGCTTCCTGGCTCTCGGGTGGCAGTGTTGCGGGGGAGCAGTCTGGGCGGAGGCCCACAACTTTCACCCTGAAAAGGCCCTGTGCGCCCCACGGGTCTGGCAGGGCTCTGACGGGACCACATGGCCTCGTGTCACTGCGAAATCACACGCTCTGGTGCTCAGTGTGAGCCTGGGATCCAGACGCTGCTTCAGCAGGACACCCGGTGTCCACACCACGGGGTCAGTGAACACCGCACCACAGGACACCCAGTGTCCACACCACAGGGTCAGTGGACACTGTGCCACAGAACACCCAGTGTCCACACCACGGGGTCAGTGGACACTGCCACATCCGTGTTTCAAGTTTTCCATATTCTACTGATTTTTACCTACTTATTCTATTAATTATTCAGAGAAAGCTGTTGAGTTCTCCAGTTACTACTAATGTGAATTTTCTCTATTTTTGCTTCAGTTCTATTAGTTTTTGTTTTTAGTATTTTAAATTTTTGTTGTTAGATTTACATACTGTCGCTCCCCGTCTTCATGGAGGAACGACACTAAGCCCTGCCTAGGCTTCATATCCGATTCACGGCACCATTATGTCGCTCCCCCTCTTCGTGGAGGAGCAACACAGGACCCTGCGCTGTTCTTTCGTCTGCTCGGCCCTCCCCGGGTTTTCTGCTGGTTCTTCCCGGGTTGGCTACTATCCCTTCCACCTCCGTGGAAGGGCAGTTCCCCCTGGCCACATTCCCCACTTCCGCAGGGGAGCGGCACACCGCCGGCCAGCTTTCTCGGGGGCTGCACAGGTGTTCCTTCAGCTAGATGTTCCCCTTAGATGTTCCTCTTAGATGTTCCTGGTGCATGCCGTCTCTCTCCTCCTTTATAGTCCTCCTCCGCCAATCCCAACTCGGCCGCCCACACGCCGAGCATGCTGCTCTCCTCCAATCAGGAGCAGCTCCCGCAGCTTGTCAAGTTGGTGAGAGGCAGCTGGGTAGAAGCTGTTTACTTCTCTCCCAGCGCCATACTGTGGGAGAGCAGATGCATAGAATAAGTCTTAATTCCAGTAACTCAGTCTAGTCCGGTTTGCTCCCCACACATACATTTGGAATTAGTATGTTTTCTTTATCAATTTACTCCCTTATCAAAATGTAATGCCCCTAGTTAAAGCAAGTCCACACCATGGGGTCAGTGGACACTGTGCCACAGGACACCCATTGTCCACACCACGGGGTCAGTGGACACCACGCCACAGGATGCCTGATGTCCACACCACGGGGTCAGTGGACACCCAGTGTCCACACCATGGGGTCAGTGGACACCGCACCACAGGACACCCAGTGTCCACACCACGGGTTCAGTGGACACCGCGCCACAGGACACCCAGTGTCCACACCACAGGGTCAGTGGACACTGTGCCACAGGACACCCAGTGTCCACACCAGAGGGTCAGTGGACACTGCCACAGAACACCCAGTGTCCACACCACGGGGTCAGTGGTCACTGCACCCACAGAATGCCTGATGTCCACACCACGGGGTCAGTGGACACTACACCTACAGAATACCAGTGTCCATATCATGGGGTCAGTGGACACTGCAACCATAGGACACCCAGTGTCCACACCATGGGGTCAGTGGACACTGTGCCACAGGATACCCAGTGTCCACACCACGGAGTCATGGACACCGCACCACAGGACACCCAGTGTCCACACCACAGGGTCAGTGGACACTGCACCCATAGGATGCCTGGTCTCCATACCACAGTCAGTGGGAACTAAGCCTACAGGGCACCCAATATCCACAGGATCAGTGGACACTGGGCCCACAGGACACCTGGTCCCCACAGCGTGCTGTCGGGCACGGCGCCCATCTTTGGCGAGGCACGTCGGCCTCGGGGTCACACAGGCCTGTCCTGAGCGGAGGTGGGCGCTCACCCTACAGCTACGCCTGAAGACCACGCTGTTATGCACTGGATGTCAGACACCGTGCAGAAGCAGCTGCCGCACGGCAGGTCTGAGAGTCAGTAGCAAGGCATCCACCGGCCAGTCCCCTGGAGGCTGCCGCCCCACACCTGCCCCTGGCCACAGCCTCCTGCACCAAATCAGATGACACACGCTCTGGGCAAACATCGACAGCGGCTGGCCACTGGGACTCAGAGCAGGCCCAGGCCCCGACAGGTGTGCACAGACAGGGAAGGCACCTTTACTACGGTCCTCCCATCTCAGCCTTCGTGGTGAACTGACCTGGGAAGACGGCACCGCAGTCAGTGTGTGGCCACGAGGGCCAGCACCAGGCCCCTCCTCCCAGTGTGGGCGTGAGAGGCCCTGACACCGTCCCCAGGCCAATCTCCCTGTCTCCACACACACCTCAGGCAGCTGGCTTCCCCACAGCTTCCACAACTACAGAGCTGTGGGGCAGGCGCTGGTGGTCACGTGCATGCCAGCCACCATGTCCATGTACTGGACCTGGCTGGACAGGCTGGTCACCGCCACCGGGTAGAAGCTGGAGTTCCTGATTTTCAGGGTGGCCTGTGTCAGGGCGAAGGATAGAGCGTGTGTCATGTCTTGGGCCCTGGACCGACTGGGACCACCTGGGACGCGAGGCCCTGAGCCTCACCCTGATGTCAAGGATGACCAGACTCCCGTCTGTCGAATGCCACTCTCACCAGCTTAACAGCGTCGTCATCCACCAGGACCGAGTGTGGGAACAGAAGAAAACCACCAAGCCTGACGCCAGGAGGCAGAGCACCGACAGGAGACACGCTGCTGTCACCTTCTGTCTCATCTGTCCCCCAGGGGCAGGAGTGGGTGCGGGCAGATGCTGAGTGCTGGGACCCCATGGCCGGGAAGCACCACTCAGAGCTTGTCCTAGAGAGGGGCACTGGGTGGCGTCAGTGTCCGCCGAGGCCTGTAGAGGGTGGGCACGGGATCACGCTGGGTGCACCGAGACCTCCCGCGCAGGAAGCGCGAGTGTGGTGTGGCCAGCGGGGGAGGGGCGATCGGCGACTCTCAGAGTCTGCGGAGACCACGGGGAGCCGGTGTGCACCCAGACCTCCCGCGCTTCGAGTGTGGTGTGGCCAGCGGGGGAGGGGCGATCGGCGACTCTGTCAGTGTCTGCGGAGACCACGGGGAGCCGGTGTGCACCCAGACTTCCCGCGCTTCGAGTGTGGTGTGGCCAGCGGGGGAGGGGCGATCGGCGACTCTCAGAGTCTGCGGAGACCACGGGGAGCCGGTGTGCACCCAGACCTCCCGCGCTTCGAGTGTGGTGTGGCCAGCGGGGGATGGCCGATTGGTGACTTTGTCAGTGTCTGCGGAGACCACGGGGAGCCGGTGTGCACCGAGACCTCCCGCGCAGGAAGCGCGAGTGTGGTGTGGCCAGCGGGGGAGGGGCGATCGGTGACTCTCAGTGTCTGCGGAGACCAGGGGGCACCGGCTCACATCTGCGCCCGCCCCAGCGATTCCAGCGGCAGCCCCACCGCGCTGGGCCCTCTCTTGGCCGCAGGCCCGGCCTCGTCTCTTCCTCTCCACCCTCCTGGAGAAAACCTCCCGGACAACAGGCACAAGTTAGGACCGGCCTTGGCGGTTCCTAGCTCTTGATTAGCCCCGCGGCCGCCAGGTCCGCCACGTCTACCCCAGCCTCCCACTAGACACTTGCCGCCTGCCTCGTGTCCCGGGCTGCGCGATCCTGCGCGCGTGCGCGGACGCGGGGGAGGGGGCTCGCGCGGCACCCTCGTGCGCAGGCGCGGACCGGAAGACGGCCTCGGGGCGGCGGTGCGCAGGCGCAGACGCGGTGGGGGGGCGGCTCGGAGAGTCCGTGCGCTCGCGCGTGCGCTCTCCGCAGTTCCGAGTCTTCCTCCTGCCGCGTAGCTGTCGCGCCCCCTTGACGCCGGTAGAGGGCGGCAGAGAGCGGGAGACCGGCGCACCCCGGGGGCGCTTCCGGGGCCGTCTCCGGGCCGGGTGGGCAGCGGCGTCCGTGCGGCTGGAGGGCGCTCGGCGAGGCGGCGCGCGCCTGGGCTCGCAGCTCTGCCCCGGGGCAGCGTCCGGGCGGCGGCCAAGTGGGCAGGCGAGGCTGCCGCCAGCACGCGGGAGCCGCCGCCGCTGAGCCTGCGCGGAGCTGGCGCCCACATCTCTCCTGGGTGCTGGGCCAACACCTGCCTGCCTGGAGGCTGGTCTCTGACGGGCGCCGCGGGGCACGTTCTGGCCCCTGCGGTTGGTGGGGACTTCCAGGAAAGCGTGAAGACGATGGAGGCTCACTGGCCCTCTGAGTTCTCCCTTCCGCTTTGCATTTGCACTTGCTCTGGAGGTGGGGCAGCCATCTTGTGACCACGGGAGGAAGCCGAGCGCAGGGAGGAGTCTGGATCCCTGATGGCGCCTGGAGCGGTGACCTGGGCCCCCCGGAGTTGTGTGCCGCCTTTTTGGGCGGTGCAGTTCTGACAGAGAGAGCGGCACTAGCAGACTGACGGCACCCCCAGGGCGCAGGCCCTTGCCCGCCTCCCAGGTTAGGCTGAGGCACTTGGAAATGAGCCCATCCTGCCAGTGGCCTGCTGAGGGCCGGAGCCGCATCCCCCGTGGAGAGGGGGCGCGTGAGGTGGGAAAGGTGCAGGGGCCTCGCCCAGCACCCGCCTCTGACAGGCTGGCCGGGTAGTGGGCCTGGCACCCGCTAGGGCCGCCTGGGAGGTGGATTTAATTGGGCAGCGCATTCCTGAGGAGGCAGTCATCGCCGCTCACCTGTGCCTGCCCCCAGCCTTGCCTCTCGTCCGCTTCCGCGCAGCGAGGCTCCTGCAGACATGAGCTCACTGGGCTGCTGGGTGGGCCAGGGCAGGGGGGCCCCACGGAGAGCCCTGGTCCTGGGGGCCCACCTCCTCTGCACGCACTCCCACGTCAGGTGCTGCGCCGGCCTCCTCCCTGCCCCGGTGCTGGAGGTTGAGTGGCACCCAGGCCGTGTGGGCATCAGGGCCAGAGACAAGTCGGCCAGTGCTGGGGTAGGGGTGGCCCTGGGCTGCTTGGTGCCCTGGCGGAGTTGAGGGGTGGGCCGCCATCTTTGTCTCACGAGAGATCACAGGGCCCAGAGCCTGGCTGTGGTGTCGGCAGAGTGAGGAAGGTTCCCCGCAGCGCAGCTGGGGTGCAGAGCAGCTGGTACTCCCTCCCTGGGAGGCCCGCAGGGGTCCCCAGCGTACTCCCCTCCCCTGGGAGGCCCGCAGGGGTCCCCGGCGTACTCCCCTCCCCTGGGAGGCCCGCAGGGGTCCCCAGCGTACTCCCCTCCCCTGGGAGGCCCGCAGGGGTCCCCAGCGTCTTCCTGGGGGGGGGGCTGTGCTGTGTGCACCGTCCCAGCTTGGCCCGTGCCATGATGCAGGAGGCGATTCTTCCGCCACAGACCTGGGTGGGCAAAGCAGGGCCTGTCCAAAAATGAGATGCCGGCACAACCCGCTGCCCCTCACAGCCCGTGCCGGCAGGGAGCTCGGCCACCTCCCCTCCTTTCGGCCGCTGTGCGGGTGCGCTGTCCTTGTCGGAATCCGGTCAGCTTCTGGTTTGAGTGCTGCTGCTTCCCTGGGCTCCGATGTCCAGGCTGGCAGAGCTGGTGCGGGGCCCGGCCTGCCCGCTCAGCACCTCGGATAGCCCCACCCGAGTGCCTTTCCCACTGCCCCCACCCCCAGTGCCTGCCAGTGTCTCAGGAACACCTGACACCTTTGCTGCCGAAACACAGGAATTCGTGGAGGATGGAAAACGTCTCCACCCCACCGAAGTCAGGATCCTGGGAACAGGTGACAGGGTGCAGGACGCCCAGACACACTGGCTCTGAAGGGGCTGCCGTCGGGGGCCTGTGGCACCCACAAGGTGCCAAGACCTGGGCTGGCCTTGGTGGCCTCTGCCCCTCGTAACACAGGAGGTCGCTGAGCGCTGGCACCCTGTGGAGCTGTGTCCAGCCAGCAGCTGGGCACAGGTGTGAGGGTGCTGCCCCGAGGGGAGGCAGGAGGTGGGTGGGTGTCCCCTCCCTCTGCACGCCGGCTCCCAAGTACTCCTTTCTTGCCCATGAGGCAGCTTCGAGGACAAACCTGGTGGCTGGACGGGTCCACACCTGGCTGCCCCCAGCCCCCCGCAGAGGTCCCGTCTGTGTCCACAGCCACACTGGGGCTCAGCCGGGCAGGCGGTGCCAGAGGACCAGGGGCAGAGATGACCATCAGTGGGTGCCCCTCCGGCCGCAGCCCAAGGCTGTGTCTGGCCACAGTGGCCCTCTCTGACATGCAGACGTGGGCGCTCCATGTGGCCTCTCGGGCCACCAGACTGGGCCCCTCTCCACTGCACCGCCTCCCCCTGCCGACCACGGCTCCTGACCGCAGAGACTATTTGTAGCTTGCCAAGAGGCTGGTGTCTGTGCCTGCCCGTCATGACCTCTCCATGTGGGATGTTCTGTTCTCCTGGCCCTCCCCACGCCGTGCCCACTTCCTGCCCAAGCAGCCGTCCAGGCCTGTCCAGATGTGGCTGTGGGGGGGCTCTCTGTGTTCCTGCACCCGCCCCCACCCCATGCCCAACATGGATGCACATATGTGCACATGTGCAGCTACACTGCACACACGCACACATGCGGTGCCCACGTATCCACAGGCACGAGTTCTTCCAGTGTCCCCGCGGCCCCTGCCCGGCATGGAGGCTGCTGCGTGGCCTCTGGCCACCCTTCAGAGTTACATGTCTGTGAGCCGGGCACATGGTGAGGCGGGGACAGGGCTGGGGCCTTGAGAAGAGCCGGGCAGGGTGGAGTGAGTGGAAGGAAGGAACGGGGAGCCCCCCGGCAGGATAGTGCTGGGGCACAGCTGTGTCCCCCTCCCTCCCCAGGCCATGTACCTCGAGGGTGAGGGCCAGGCTGAGCAGAGGGGTGGGCTGGGACTCAGAGGCCGCAGGTTCTCTTCCCTGAAGCCAGTGTGGGCTTGGCCTCCGCAGAAAGGCTCAGGAGGCAGCCGGGGCAGGAGGTCCCGCAGCCCAGGCCGGGCAGGGAGGGCTCTGCCCTGCACCGGCAGGTGCCTTCTGCTGGGGGCAGCGGCCGGACGCTCTGCTGTCTTCTCCCATCACGTCTTGGGCACAGACCCTGGTCCTGAGCACATTTTTAAGACACAACAGCTTCTCTGTCCCATCTCTGCAAGGCAAGGCTGACTGGGTGTTTTGGGGTATCAGGGCCTTGCCTCATTCCCGGCACCGCCTGGGCCAGGCATGGTAGCAGGCCCTGTGAACTGGCAGCCAGCAGGACACGGCCCCTGTGCCCCGGTCACTTCCATCTGGAGCAAACCCAGAACCCACATCCTTGCGGAGGTTAAAGAGTGCTTGCCGACTCTGGGCGTGTGACCCGGGCACGGCCCTCACCTGTGTGTGGGGTTCTCATTGGAATGCCTGGGCAGTCAGGGGGCTGGCATCTGGTGCCTGCCAGCTGCTGGCAGAGCAGCCTCGCCACAGCCTCTAGAAGGCAGACTCTGGCTTTCGCTTTTGTCCCCAACTTTCCCTGTGAACAGCTTTGCAAGGGGCCAGGCTGAAGAGGGCAGCTGGGGGGCCCTGGGACAGGGTTTGAGCATGGACCAAGGTCCTGGGGTCAGGACTCTCGCAGGGGACGATGGCCCTGCCTCCCTGGGGCCCAGCCTGGCTAGGCCCCTTCTGGGAGCAGTGTCTCCAGTCTGAGTGGAGGTATCTGATGTTGAGCCAGCGTCTGCTCTATGGCTTTGTCACTTCCTCCGAGAAGCCCTCCTTGCTCTTGACCCCTGCAGGGATGATCTCCCCCTTGGAATCCTCCTGCTGCTGTATGCAGTCAGCCCTCTGTATCCCCAGGTCTAACATCCCCACATTCAGCACCCACAAATGGAAAATATTGAGAAAATATCTGCACCAAACCCGCACAGACACCACCACCACCACTGTGGTTCTACAAACAGCACAGTTACCAGCTACTTACAAGGCACTCCCATCACACAAGGCATTTCACAAAGCCCATGGAAAGTGGAATTGAAACAACAGATTATTTTGGTACAAAAACTTGAATTCCTGTGTAATTTTTTCACAGGTACAGAAGGGCAGAGGGACAGAGTGGGCCATTGCTGGTTCACTGTCCAGATGCCTGCAGCACCCGGGACTGGGCTGGCTCAGAGTCCTGAGCCGGGAACTCCATACGGGCCTCCCACATCGGGGGCAGGGGTCCAGGTACATGAGTCACCATCTGCTGCCCCAGGGTACACACTAGCAGCAAGCTGGATTGGAAGTGGGATTGGGACTGGGCCTGGACACACTGACACTGGATGGGTCTGCCCCAAGCAGTGATTCAACCGCTGAACCCGACGCCTGACCCTCCATGTGGTAGACCCCTTGTCTCTGGCTCACAGGGCGTCCAGAGATGACTTAAAGTATGGGGCGAGTGCGAACCCTGGGCTGTTTTACATGGGACTGGGCATCCACAGATCTTAGGAGCTGCAGGGCATGCTGGGGCCAATCTTCAGGGACCCCACGGGACACTGTGGCTTTGTCTCCCCACCCCACCCAGGCATCACACAGAGGGGTCCCGCACAAGGGCCTGGTGGGTTCTGGACAAATCCCCGCATCTGTTGGTTGTGTGGTGGCGTAAGCGTCCTTCGCTTTCACTGTGCCTGCTTCGTCCGGCAACAGGCAGCTGCGCGGGGAGCGTGAGGGTGAGTGCCTGCAGGCCGGTGCGAGGCCCGGGCTGCGCTCGGTGAGCTCCTGGGCGCTGCTGGTGTCCTCGGCGGCTCTGTGCCGGCACTGCTTTCGCCCAGGCTGCTCTGCGTCCCGGCCGTCTGCCTTGGCTTCTGCTGCTGCCGGACAGGCTGTCTCAGTGCTGAGAGGCCCTTCCTCCCGCAGCCCTGCCTGAGCCCAGCCATTTCCCCGGCAGCTCCCACGTCCCGGGCTAACTTTAGGGTCGGTTTGCAGCTGTGGTTGGATTTTTCTGTGTGAAAAATATTTAAAGCAGCTGGTGGGGAAGGGCTGGCGAGGTGGGAGAGAATAATAAGTGAGCTTGGGAAAGGAAGACTGCCTACGCAGCTTGCTCTCCGGCCGTGCCAAGGACGGGAGCCATCAGATGGTTGGGGCAGGGGAGGCAGGGAGAGACCCAGCCCCTCACAAGCACCTCTCGCTTGCTTTGACCTCGTGCCGCACACAGGTTCTAAGGATGCCAGAAATAGGTGGGATGTCGCAAAGCACTGGCCGATATCGGGACCTGTCCTGCAGATGTCGCCCTGCATAGCTGCCCCCATAGCCGCAGGCAGCTCCACCACCCCACTGCTTGTGGTCCCCCAAGCAGCTGACCTGCTCTATTGCCTCCCACCCCCAGTTCATCCGTCTCCTCTTCCTGGTCCCCGTGCCCTGGCACAGGGACCCTCAGCCTCCTTTTGGGGGTCCCGCCCCCAAGCCAGCCATCTTTCTGGTTGGCTAGGGTGCACGCAACAGCCAGGGCCAGAAGTCCGCATGCTGCCACTGGGCAGCCTGGGAGGACCTGACAGAGACCCACTGAATACCCAGAGCCAAGCAGAGACAGGGAAGGAGTCACCAGCAGGGCCCTGGCCAGGCCCACAGGGACA